CCAGGGCCGGGGCGCTCCCGACCGCTGCCTGCAGGGGGCACTGGCGAGCGGGGCCGGAGCCCGCTCCCGCTGGAGAGGAGCCGCGAGTCCCGGGGCTGCGTCCCGGGGCGACAGTCCTTCGAGCTCTGGTTTGAAACTCAGGAATGGGAGACACGGGGAAGGGTTTCCAGAGGGGTCTCCTGGCTTCTGGGATGCAGTCCACCTGGGCAGGAAAGCGGCCCAGGAGGCTGACCTGGGCCGGGAGCGCAGGCGGGCAGGCGGCGGAGGTGATTACAGATGCGCGCAAACCGTAAGGACAGCGGTGATAACCAGCACTTAAAGAGTAACAGCTACTGTTCATTAAGGGCTTACCATGGGCCGGGGGCTTAGCTAAGCCTGTTACCCACACTTTTTCCATGAGAGCCTCTCAGTGTTCCCTTGGGAAAGTATTACTCACGCCTCCTAATTAGGAGACAAGGAAATGAGGCTTGAGAGGTTAACCCTGCCCGGGCCCCAGAGCTGACGGGGAGAGGGTGTGGAGCCCAAAAAGATCCCACGCCTGGCTGGATGCCTCCGCTCTCCTAGCACCCCAGACCTGTGGGTGCAGTGAGGAAACCTAAGCCATCCTGATGCTGAGTCCCAAAATTCTACTGCCCTTCTTTCTGCATAAGAAGATAGATAGATAGATAGATAGATAGATAGATAGATAGATAGATAGATAGAAGTGATATAAACATGCGTTATATAAAGATAGATACAGATATAGATTCATTGTGTGTGCGTTTATTTTATGTGTATCTGTTGTTTGTATTTAAGAATATTGTCTTGAAAAGGTAAGCCTACAGCAAATCTACGAACGTAAAGAATTGGGAACATATCCATTTTTGGTATGTATTGAATAAAAGAAGTAATAGAAGCTCAACATTCCATGACCCCTTCCTCCCAGAGTTCTTGTCGCAGGTTAACTTTCTCAGGTTTTAGAAATCCAAGCCACCTCTGTAGGAACCTAATGAGCCGGTTGTCATTAACTCAGATAATATAGCACATCAAGGTGAATAGTGCTCTAAGTAAATGCCAGTTGCCGATACACAATAGAAGCTGCTGAATAAATGGATAAATGAATGGATGAACTAAAATTTTTCAGTAGTTCCGACTGGTGGACTTAGAATTCTTCCCAAACCATTACTTTTATTTTTAAAGTCCACTGTCCCCTTTGGTTTGAGTTTGAGTGCAGTCTATCCACTTTTCTAAAAAAGCAATTTGAGTATTCAAAATAATCAAGTTTCCACTCACAGGAGAGTGGTTAGATGATCTGTAGCACAGTGGGCTACTATCCAGTATGAAGAGAAGGATCTTCCTGAGCAGATACCCGCAAGCCTGGGACATAGAAAGTGTACAAAAAAAAGTGTGTTTCACATTTGCTTGGGGAAAAAATAAACAAGAATTTGTATGTATATATTTGCAACTATCTGGGGGAAAATGTGGTAAGTAAATCACAAATTAACAAAAATGGTTCCTTATAGGAAATGGGTAACAATGAGATGGAAGGATTAGGGATGAAAGTGAAAATTCTCAATGTATCTTTTTTGTGCTTTAGTCATGAGTGTTTCATGTTTTTTTAATTAATTAAATCAAAGAAGATTTTTTAATCCTAAAATTAAATTCAAAGAGTAACAAAATTAACTGTATTTTGAGCTGATAATATAAGCATACAGAAAAAATTAAGTAACATTTGAAATTTGAACTCTGTATGTCCTTTGAAGAGCATATATTATATTAAGAACTGCATGACAATCTTGAGTTTTGCTACTTTGTTTTTATAAGAATATTAGTGTTGTGATTATGAAACATAGTATTTTATTTGTATTATAAAATAGGATAAGTGGTGAAATATATTGATGCTCTTCAGAATCTTGATGTTGATTCTAATTTATATGAAACTGTCAAATGACAGAAGCTAAGAAAGAACCTTGTGGTGTTGAATTGAATATTCTGTTCACTGAAAGATACTAACAGCAATAACAGCTCAACAGTAAGGATGCTCAAACCTTAATTATAGCCCCTTTCTTAAGGGCCTTCTTTTAAGGCCCTGTACCTATTTTATTTTTTTTTATTTTTTTATTTTTTTGGGGGGGTTTTTCTCTGGTACCGGGAACCGAACTCACGACCTTGCGCTTGCCAGGCAGGCGCTTTGCCGCTGAGCTAAATCCCCAGCCCCCCTGTACCTATTTTAGATTTGCAATTTTGTGTTCCTCTTTTTAAAAATGTTCAAAACTTGTATTTGCTTCAGACTCTACAAATCTGAATGTACCCCTTGCTGTGCGACACCCAGCACCAAGATCTTAGTTTCTAAGCACCATTTCCCATTAGGAGGAACCAGAGCTCCTGCGAAAAGTAACTGTTTTCAGATCTAAGGCAGGAAGAAATCAAGATAACCCTAGAACATATATTTTTATGTCAGAAATCTAGAAACAAATGGGGTTGTGAAGCACACATTCACATGCACACAAATGAGCTAGATGAAGGAAGTATCACAGCCAAATTTAGGACAATTTGACCATCAGAAAAGAAAAATAATTATCATAATAAATTATAACCTTCCAAACCCAACATCCATGAGTTCACAGTAATATTCACAGTGAGATAGAATGAGAGTGAGGCAGACATGGAGGGGGCTTTATGATAGCCACAAATATAGATAAAATATTTATCTATTTATTTATTTATTTTTGAGACAGAGTTTTGCTATGTAGTTCAGGCTGGCCTTGTACTCACTATGTAGCCTAGGGTGGCCTTGAACTTGCAGCAATCCTCTTGCCTCAGTCTTCCCAGTGCTGGCACTATAAATATGTGCCACCACACCAACATATAGATAAACTTTTAAAATAACTGTTTCTGTAAAGTCATTGTAATATTTGGCTCAAGCAAATATTATGTTATTTATGGGTGCTAAAACCTCCATGTGAAACTGGTCATGTTGGTGCATACTTATAATCCCGGAATTTGGGAGACTGAGACAGGAGGGTCGTCATGAATTCCAGGCCAACGTAGGCTATATAGTTTAGGCTATATAGTTTAAGGCCAGTCTGAACTACATAGTGAGACCCTGTCTCAAAAACAACAAAACAAGCAGAGCAAAAAAACAAAACACACACTAAAAACTCTCTATCTAGGCTGCACCTCAGTTAGATTCTAGACTGCCAAAAAAAGTTAAAATATGTTCTTTTCAGGTAGCTGAGAATATTTAAATATGATTAGCAAGTAGTGGAATTATTAATTGATGTTAATTTTTCAGTATGATAATGGTACTGGAAATGCTATTGGAGATGAATGTGCAACAATCAGGTCAGAGTACCCTGATGTGTAAACTGACTCTCAAATGTTTCAGTCAACAATTGGGGAGTGTAGCTGCAGAATATTTGGGAGCTTGTGAAAATGTTCTTATCATTTTTCTATAAATTTAAATTTAACCCACAAAATATAATACATTTTTTTTATAAAGGCCCATAAACATGAGTGTGTCAAGCCCACATTTAACTTTTAGAATATTTCTATTGATGAATTATTAATTTTAATTTTATGAGTTTTATTATATTAAACAATGAGTTCTTAACAGAAAAAAATCACAAAGATATAGTATTGGATTTTTAATATTAATGTTTATGAAAAAGCATCAAAGTTTTCAACACCATCTGATTTTGATGTACAAAGTCTAAAAAAGAACAAGAGAAATGAATTCCTATATGAGCTACGATGAAAATACCAATAGCACTCTCCAAAAAATAAACTTTACTTCAATTATCACATCTAAAGCAGGTTTCACACATGACAACAGCACATTATATACACACGTATCCCTTACACTTATAGCACATGTGTTTTGCTTTCCTGGCCTTTTTGTAGGACACACTTGACATCTTACTGGTCTTGCTGTTTACTAGGCAGTTCTTATTATATTATGCAATGTGTACTTAACAGGAAAGTAAAATATCAATAAAATAAAATATTAAATTCTTAATATGTATTGTGCTTTTAGAATACACATCGACATTTTCACATCAGCTGTGTATTTGCTTCCAAAGACTAAGAGACATCAGAAATAAAAACCTATGTGAACTGCAATATAAACAGAAACAAAAGCCTCCCACAGAAATAACCTTTGCTTCAACTGTCACACCGAGTGCAGTCTTCACACATGACAACTGCATGTTCTATGCACATGTCTCACATTCACTGACAGCACATGTGCTTAGCTTTCCTCTCCTCTGTGGTAAGCCATTCTTTTTTTTGTTTTTTTTTTTTTTGTTTTGTTTTTTTCCGGTACCGGGAACCGAACTCACGACCTTGCGCTTGCCAGGCAGGCGCTTTTGCCGCTGAGCTAAATCCCCAGCCCTTATGTGGTAAGCCATTCTTGTTACCTCTGTTCTCTTCCTGTTTTTTCAGGAACACCCTACTCTGTGTATCATGTGCACTTAGCATGGAAATAAGTTATCAATAAAATGAAATACCAAATGTGTAATGAGTCCTTAGAGTAGACATCAATATTTTCACATCAGGTGTTTACTTGCTTTTAAAACCTAGGAGATAACATCAGAAATAAAAACCTATGTGAACTACAATGGAAAAACCAATAGAACTTTACAATAAATATAATTTTTGCTTCAATTGTCACACCCAAGGCAGTCTTCACACATGAAAATTGCATGTTTCATACACAAGCATCACTTATACTGATAGCATGTATGTTTTATTTTCTTGTTCTTTCTTATAGAGCAAAACTGACATTTTTTTGATTTTCCTATTGCCACAGTACTTCTTTAGAATGGTGCACCTGCCTGTTCACCTGTTAGCTCACCAGTGCAGTACATGATTTTTTTTGCATAGTTTCCTGGGCAGAAACATTTTGTTTTTTTCTCCACTG